AGCAATACTGCCTTAGTGATATATTCCAATGAAAATATTGGACGTACACAAGGTGTTTAGACAGCAGAAAATAGAGTAAAGGAAGGAGGGAGAGGAAATTAGACAGTAGAGAAAGGTAGGATCTTTCTGAATGGCATACATATGGCTACAGAAACCTCTATGTTTGATGTTGGCATGCAGTGTTTAGGCTGCAAGGCCATAAGTCTCCTGAAGGGTCTAAAATATATATATATATATATTAAAAAAACACCCGAGTGGTAGCAAACACCAATAATTGAGTGCCACCACAAATAGCTAAATGTAGAAGTTAGTGCCAAGTGGCTGTTAGTAGGAAGACTTACATCTACTTAATACTAATAAAACTGAATGCAATCGTAACACTACTTAACAGCTAGACACACAGCACGAAAAGCAAATGAACACGACGACAGACTAGACAAGACAAGACAAATGAGTAAGACCCCAAAATTTAAAATTTTTTTAAAAATAAAAATACAGTATAATGTCTTGATGTGGCCTAAATTAGGCCAATTTTTTTCTGACTTATCACACATTGTAGCTCAAATAATAAAAATGGAATCAGACAGTATAATGTAATTATATATATATTTTATAATAAACTTATTTAGAATTAATATTTAAAACATAGATTTACTAATTATTAGTGGCAAGGCTACAAATTTTGTTGCCCCTATGTGCTTACTTCTGATGCAGCCTCCCATTTTCCCCTAGTTACATCACTGCTCTTCATGAATATAATGGTGAAATAAAACAAGGTGTTCCATTTCTGGGACAGAAAAAGTGCTGTGATGTGCATGACATCATGTACTGTACAACAGTCCATGATCCTTTCACATATTCAGTTGCCACATAGTATAAAATTAGTAAGAATTAACCAATTTTTGCTTTTTGTAATGATTATTTGCACATCATTCGGTTGTTACAATCAACCAACTTGAAATAAACAAAAAAGAAACTGCATTTCCATTGTTTTCTTGGAGACAAAAACAATGTGCACCCAGTGGATTTTTGCCTGATGACATGTGAACAAAATTAATCTTAAACATGGAAAATACAAACGTATTTATCTGTACAAAAATACATTTAAAAAAATTAATTACTGTATATCTGCACAGATAAGATGACCTTCAGATAAGATGAGGTATAAATTTTCATCGAAGTTTTATAGTTTTAGCATATATCTGTCCTATAAGACGACCCCCAAACTATCAATGGCCTATGAATTTAGTTTAGATCAGCAATCATCATCTGGATAACAGCACTGTATAAAATATATGTTAACATATATATAATAGTTATGTTCTTTTTGAATTTTTTTAAAGAACTTCAAATTTTATTTTCTCGCATCTGGCAGCACTGCTTTGCAATTGTTGCAAACATTCACACTGATTCGGGCATTCGGGTAATGACCTTGACTATTCACAAAAATGTCGTATGGGCTATTCTATTTTGTGGACATACCCTACTCTCTACCAGTAAATAATTATGGTTTGTAAGTTTTTTTATAATGGTTTTAAAATTTATATAAATTTCAATCTATTTTTTTTTTGTATCTGTCTTATAAGACAACCCCGGATTTTGGGGTTGTCTTATATGACAGATACAAGATTTTTTATGATTCAACTAGTGTCTTATCTGTGCAGATATACAGTAATTGTTCCATTTTTGTGAATTTTTTTAAAAACCTAAAATTTTTGGCTTTTTTTCAGTAACTTATCACACAAGGTTTAGGTTTTATTAATGGAGGAAATGCATTTCAGTTCTNTCTTATAAGACAACCCCGGATTTTGGGGTTGTCTTATATGACAGATACAAGATTTTTTATGATTCAACTAGTGTCTTATCTGTGCAGATATACAGTAATTGTTCCATTTTTGTGAATTTTTTTAAAAACCTAAAATTTTTGGCTTTTTTTCAGTAACTTATCACACAAGGTTTAGGTTTTATTAATGGAGGAAATGCATTTCAGTTCTTAATGACCTCTCTTCACTCCTTATTAAATTTGATTATTAAGTACAAATTCAAATTAAATCAAATCCATCCAACAAACAAAGCAATAATTACAGATACGTTGTACTAACCTTGTATAGCTTTGCAGTTACTACTTAAAAAATATTATGTCGGATCTACAAAAAGATCGCTCAAACAACGCCTCTGCGAGCACAAAATAAACATTAAAAAAAAAAAAAAAGCAATACTGCCTTAGTGATATATTCCAATGAAAATGGCATTACATTTAACATACAACAAGCGACAATGATTTGACAAATTTGACATATAAACCAACTACAAAATCTGAGGTGCTAGAAATTTTTAAAGCAGACTGCAAAGCCTGTCAATCAATTTTAAAGAAGAAAAACAACTCCCGAGAGCATGGCAGGCTATTTATGATGCAACGCTATAACAACTGGCGCAGGCACACATTGTTTGGAGATTTGAATGTTGAAATTTTAAAAAATAAATTCCGAAGATAGAAGCGTTGGAGACCTGATCAGTTAAAAATCAGAATTGAACCAGAAAAATTATAAAACACCTGAGGAAGACCCTAGAAGTGGGTCAAAAACGTTTGTATTACGTTTTTAAGTAGTAACTGCAAAGCTATACAAGGTTAGTACGACGTATCTGAAATTAAAAATTGGGCAACTGACTGCATAAAATTTGTTTAAAAACAGATGCTGTAGATGGGTAAAAAATGAAGAGGCGAATAATGTTTAAAACAAAAAACTTTTTAAAAAATAAAACTGATAAATAGAAGTTAAAATTAGATTTAAAAACTTTTCTTCGAAAAGTTGAAATTAAAAGCTCTTAAAACTATTTTAAAAGTGTAACTTGTACACTTTTACACTGCCCATATTATGCCAGAAACAATACAACATATAACTTCTGGTTGCAAGCTCTTGACATAGACAGATTATTTACATAGACATAATCAAGTAGCAAATACAGTATAATACCAAGAGCTTGCAAACAAACACAAATTATTAGACATCCACGAACAATACTACAAATACATCCCACAGACAGTATTGGAAAACAATATGCACAAAATGTACTATGACAGAGCCATAATCACAGACAAAACAATTTACCAAACAGACCAAACATCACACTCATTTGACAAAGACAATAAAATCACATACACTATAGACATATCCATTCCAAACACTCACAATGGACAAAACACAAGCACTGAAAAAATCAGCAAGTACACAGAACTCAGCCACAAAATTAAGTGCTTATTGTATCTGTCATTCTCTCCTGTACAGCTGTCATACCACACACACTAGACAAAAACCTGGGAACATTCAACTGAATATAAACACATATATCACACTACAGAAGGCCACTATATTGAATTTGTCATATTGTTAGGAAATTCCTGAATACAGACACACACATTGACACACTTAAATTTTGTCTTGTTTTGGTTACTATGCCTTGACTCTGGTCTGGCCTTCTGTAGTACACAGCAACTGGTGTCAACTGAGTATAACTCACTAAACCCAACATAATAATTAATAAAGAAAACAGAAATAAAAAGGCGCAAAAAAAAATGTATAATTTAGAATTAACTCAAACAAAAATTATCACACTAACTTCCTATATAACATCCGCCATATTGCCAGAAGGTCAAACACGAACTAATTGTTATGTAAAGCAATTCCCATATGAAAATGGCCCTGCAATCTGAGCACTATTGAAGTAGGGTGGCATCGAGCCATAATACTTTTTGCAACCATTTTCTAAAGTGTTTCCAACAAGTTTGGTAGTGGTTCTGCAATTTTTGATATCTTGATGTTCTTGAAAGTGGCAAGCCAATTTTCTAGTTGTGGCCCCAATATAAAATATTTTTGGTCCCATTTGTGACTGCTTTAAAGGGACCATGTAGACCCAACTTCTCCAAAAAGGTAAAAACTATCCCCATCATTACATAATAATTATCTGCACAGGGAAATTTGCAGTTTTATAGGAAGTACAATGCCATGTCTTTGAAAGCATGTAAAATACGATGCATAATGGCTCCCAAATATGGAATGGACGGTTGAGCAAACACCCAACTCTTCTTTTTGTCATTGAATCTCAACAGTTGGTAAGGAAAAAAAAGTAATTATAGTTTTTTCAATATATTGACGCATCCTATGGAATACATTTTAAATTTGTCATTTGGAACACATTAATGTATATTTTAAATTATAAGATTCCATTATTCTATATCTGAAGAAGACAGTCTGAATTTGTGAAAAATACTTGTAGTAATATTTCAAGTAAAATAATAATGCTGACAGACAATGTTAATAATTTCTTAAACTATTTGGCATCACATAAAGCAATTTTGAATCTTTAACATTACTATAAATAAGAAAAATAAGAGTTTATTAACTAAAATGAAAACGATTACTGATCCTAAACATATTTATTTTAATATAATAAAAGTTTACACTTTTTAATCAAAATAAAATAATATATTTTTGACACTAAATAATCTAAATCAAAGATTCTCAAAGTATAGTTGGTGAATCACTGATGAATCTACAAGAATGCTTCAGGTAGTCTGCAAACTGATCTAATCACTGTTCTAAAATAAAAATTCTATGCCTTTTAGCCAGAGTAAAAACCATTTTGTGTGTCATTTTTCTCTTACATTAAGTTACTCAGCAGATAAAATTTTTTGAAATCTAAGGTGATTTTTACAGAATAAGAAGTGAATGGAGGCATAGGTGATATGCTGCTTCTGTAAGATGGTTTAAGTGGTCCACAGACTGTACAACTTTGAGAATCACTGACATAGGTAATTGCTAATATAAAAAAAGTTTTGTACATTATACTTTAGTGGAACTTAAATAAAATACTTTTCTTTTTGCTTGTTAAGGAAGTCTAATTTGCTAAAAATATGAAAGTTTTTCTTTTAAGAAAATATATATACAAATATAATGTATATATTAAATTGTCAATATAAAATTTTAATATTGTTTCACCAAATTTGGCTTCCTTAACAAGCAGAAAAAAGAAAAGTATTTAATATGGTACCAAGTTTAATAAAACTGTAATGACTTAGGCTGCATTTATTCAGGCACAAGAAATGCAATAGGAGAGATAAAAACAGGAGGAGAAGAGAAACCAAGTGAACGAAGGTCATGCACTTACAAGAATACGCTCCTTGTTTTCCCTCTAGTTGCATTCGTGTAAAAGCAAGAAGGAAAAGTTCAACAAATTTTACAAAGAGCCCATACACAGTGCTACACACATCTCTCACATTTCCATGGCTGTGGAATGTGAAGAAAATATAGAAAATTCATTTTATTTATGACCTTCCTGTTTTTTGTGCTCAGACCATTTGCAGTGTGCTCCATCATCACCATTTTATTGTATGGAAGCAAGACCGCCAAACTACTGCATATGTGCCGACTCAGGAGAGGAGAGAAAACTATGAGAAAAAGTTCAACAGACTGAACTTTCAAGGATGCAAGAAATTGGTGCACTTCTCATGCCTAACACACAAGAACTCCATTTCCATCTTCAGTGTAAACTGCATCACAAATGCAAATTCTGGTCCCAAAAATTCTCTTGCCTGTTTTTCTCTCTTTTAAATTGTACAATGGCTCCAAGTCTGCATAAATGCTTAGTCTGTATAAATGCAGCCTTAAATAAAACTTTAATCAATTCTTTTCCAGCTATTTTATATAACTAATATTTATTTAAAATTTAAATCAAATTTCAACATACCTTTCAGATCTTTTTTCAGTTCTTCGACACAGCTGTGCGATTTAATTGAGCTAATAGGCAACATCAGAGAACAGTGGCGTCGACATTTTACAGATCGAAATTTGCATTCTTTTTGTTCGTGTTTAGGCATATCTTTACGAATACAATTCACTTTGCAATTTGCATTTTTACACTGCACTATTTCATAATCACAACTAGCCAAATGAGAATCATATGCTTCTAGAGCAATTTTCTGTTTGCATCCATGTTCAGAATTAGGACAATAAATAGTTAACTTCATTATCATATTTTTGATTATTGGCACCACCGTCTGGAGTTTGGAAGTACTGGCTCTTTTTCTACAGACAGGACAAGTCTTCTGACGTCTTAGCCAATTGCTAATGCACGTTCGGCAGTAAACGTGACGGCACGGACATTCCACTGGATCGTAGAACACACAACGACAAATACTACAAATTAATTCCTCATCCGGAAGAGGATCGAAATTTTCCATTTGGTACGCAGAAAGTGGTGGAGCCATGCTTCAAAACCAATTTGACGTTGACCTATATTGCAACATAAGAAATTATATTTTCCCATATATATTTAAAAATTATGATGTTTTAAATGTTATAAGAAATAGTGTTCCTCAATATGCAGCTTTTTTGATAGCAGTACTATTTTAGAGATGAATTTTAGTTTACAATAGTATTGATTTTAATAATTTATTTGATCAAAGATCTTTTAATAACATTAAATATTCATATAAATATCAATTATCATAATATAATAGAATAAAAATAAAACAAGTAAATAGTTTACAACATTCTTTAACTATAGTTCAATTTCAATGAAAAAATATTTAAATCATATCATGTTTGTCATTATAAAAAGTATTCTACATTAGTTAATTGTTGTCAAACTGAAAATAAAATTTAATTATAAATTAGCCTTCCCTCTTCCATCCCAGAAAATTCTCTATAACAATTTATGAATAAATAAAAATTCAACAAATTTGAAGCATACAAAAATTGAAAGTCTAACAGAAAACAATCAGTCACATATAAGCTAAATTATTCAAAAATAATAATTGTTTTTAATATTAAAAAACTTGAACTTTTTATAGAAATTATATAGAATAGTCATGTCTAACACAATTCAAAGATACCGTAAATTTTGTAAATTCTTAATACTATACACACACAAAAAATTAGGAGTGAACTCCTTATTTAAGGCTTTCAAAGAATGTCAAATAAGGAGTTTACTCATAAAGCCTTATTTAATGGCTTTCTTGAAGCCATCTTTGGCTACGGCAATTAAAACAGTTACGCATTCTAAATTGTTTAAATTTAAACATTTAAACTTAAAATCTTCTGACGTGAATACTGGAAAGCATATAAATTAACACTCCAAAACCTTTAAACGTCCAGTAGTAAACAATTTAATAGTAAACAAACGTTTTCGACCATACTTTTGGTCTTCATCAGGTTTAAAAACCAGTTAGATTCGAACCAGTGCAAGCGTAGAACAATTTTGTAGTGCAATTTCATAATCATTGTTCTACACTTGCACTGGTTCGAATCTAACTGGTTTTTAAACCTGATGAAGACTGAAAGTACGGTCGAAAACATTTGTTTACTATTAAATTGTTTATTACTGGACGTTTAAAGGTTTTGGAGTGTAAATTTAAACATTTAAAACTAAAACTGACAATTGCAGACATACATTATTTTAAATACAAGACGCATTTAAAATAAAAAATCTACAATAAAACATTTACATCTTATTTAGATAATTTATAAAAGAATCCAGGCACAAAAATTTAGAACTTCCAATTATACTATATTTTTATTTATATTAGTGATGGGACAATATCAAAATTTCTCCTTATTCTGATTCTTTTGAATACTTTCTAAAGTTTATTTTAGTTTAAAAAAATTAAAGATTTACATTACAAGCATGATATATTCATTAATAAACATTAAGCTTAAGAATTGAAAACGATTGAGAAATCCAGAATCAATCCTTCAAAAGAAACATGAAAGTTCTCCATTTATATGTGGATACGCATGCTTTTATTGTGTATTACAAAATAAATTTGTAATCTTGTTTTATAGTACACAATAAATGCATGTGTATCCACACACAAATTTGTAATCTTATTTTGAATAAAGTTAATACTGCAACACTACTCTGAAGAAATTACAATTAATTCCCTTTTACTCAATAAACTATCCCATCAGGTAACGTAAGGTCGCCATCTTTGAACACTGCTTTGTTAGCCAACATGATTGATGACCAGGGAGAGGAAAAGAAATGAGATGATGCTCTTTTTTCATGCTTTTTGCCATGGGCATCGCTTGTAACTGATTTAACTCTGTCGTATTTAATACTAAATGAAGTTTGGCAAATGAGCCAAACAAATATCATCGTCAAGAGTTAACAGATTTTCAAATTCATTCACTCGAGCCACAAATATCTAGACAAACTCATCTTGAAAAATAAAAAACAGCATTAAACTTAGTGCAAACAAGTATTTTTACTCAGAAACACACTAATTGCATCTGAAAATTTAATGCAGGCCTATTACACGATCATCAAGCAAAGTTTCCAATAAACTAATATTTAATTGTTTTAATTTAAAAAATTTTTAATCTTTGACTGAAACAAAAATTTGTTTTCTTATAAAATGTGGAATTGGAAATCATGACGAGATTTTCTCAATTCTGATACTAGGAAAATGTCCAATTTTTCTAATTATTAATTCAGATTAATCGTCCCATCACTAAGTTTATACGGTACACTAACCCTCATCAGACTGACTATTTTTTCACAAAAGCTGGAAAAAGTTTTAACTTCAAATAATGTTTTCCAACTGCCATCCAAACAAGTTGCACCATATCAATTATGTTAATGTGTTTTATCTAAACATGTATATATATTTGCTATAATAATCTAATTAAATAACAGTCCATGAATTATCTTTGCTTTGTTCCATAATATCTCAATTTATTTATCCATTGCACATTTTACTAAACATATAAAAAACTCCTTGTTTTTTAATGACTAAACAGTACATTCCTTAACTCTTCTAATGAACTGTAATTAGAACTTACATAATAAAAAATGCCTCTTGTCACTTTTGTTAAACAGTTTCAATATATACCCCTGTTTTTGTATATCCTCTAATTTATGCTTAGGAATATAAGTGATCATGACTAATGAAAATTTTCTAATACATAATCTGTAATCAGTATGTTTTATAAATGGTCTAATAAGCAAATATATTCCTGTACTGAATACAGTTTTTGTATTCACCAAACTTAAAGTTTTGATAATAGTATTTGATGGAATTAAATAAGACAAACTCTGAATCACTTTCATAGACATTTAATAGACTTACATTACCTTAAGACACATCTTAAAGAAAAGAAACTTCTTAAAACATTATCTTTACCAAAATCAATTACAGAGGCTATACCAACAAGAGATGGGGATTATATTAATTTCAAAATTTTAAGAGCAGCAATACAGTATAAATATATTAAAATTCATTGACTAAAGAGGAGTTTACAAAAACTCGGAGTACAAAAAGAACTTTATCACAACAACAAAAAGAACATTCAACAAAAAGACATCCACAAATTATAAGTGGCCTGGTAGAACAAACTAAGAGATATGAAATAAATATACATAACAGATTGGTTAAAAAATTTCAATACCCAACTATCAAGGAAATAATTGATTGGAAAAAGACCCTTATTTTAAATAAAACACAATTCGCAATTCCAGAGAAAATCAAAGAAATATTATACAAAGGGTTAGACTTTAATGGTCCTAATAAATGGGAAGTTTTAGACATAGTATCGAACTTGGATAAAATATGCAAAGATCTTCCAGAGATATACTCAAAAATTATGAAAATGAAACTTTGTAATAAAATTAAAAAATATATAACCACAGAAAAAGGTAATTATTAGAGATAAAAATTACTTCCAATATAAAAATCAAATCAAAGTATTATATGATTTTTTAAAAGAAAATGAACTAAAAATTATAAAAGCTGACAAATCAAAACAAACTATAACAGTTACCCAAGAATGGGTTAATAAGAAAAAACAAGAAATAATAAATAACTTAAAGTTCCGTAAACTACTTATTAATCCCAGAGAAGTTATAAATTTAGAACTTAAAAAACGGATTACCAAATTACAACTACTTAGTGGACTTTAAACACTCCATGTTATATAACTTAGAAAAGTTTTTGAAACGACAACTTTGGCAATATCAAAATTCACAATTCTCAATTAAAAATACAGATGAACTCATATGAAAATTAAACAAAATTAGTATTGAAGAAACATTCAAGATAGCTAGCTTAGTTATAATAGACATATACCCATCAATAACATGGTAAATAATAGAAAACAATTTAAAACAACTTAAAGTAAAAGATGGAATAATGGATCTAATAGAATTCATCTATAGAAGTAACTATTTTGAGATTGAAGATTATTATACACAGAACAAAGGAATAAGTATGGGATCAGTAATAGGACCAAAATTAGCAGAGTTAATAATGATAGACATAGATGAAAGTATGAACAAAATATAAGGGATAAAATTCTACAAACTTTGTGATGATATTCTGATAATATATAATGAAACAGAAATTACAATAGAAAAAATTAATAATCATATAAATAGCATACATGAAGCATTAAAATTTAAAACAGGATTAAAACAAAATCAACCAAGAATTAAGTTACTTAGATATTATAATAAAAAAAATAAAAAATGGCCTAGAATTTAGAACATAGAAAACCTGGTTCAGTAAAAATGACTATAAAATATAATTCTAATATACCATTACATGTTAAAGAGAATACATTTAAAATGGATTGTAAAATAAAAAATAGAGCAAGTCAAGAGGTGTATATACATAAAGAATTAGCAGAGTTAAAAGAATAATTTCTTCTAGAAGGATATCCACAAAGATTATTAAAAGCATGGGAAAATTAAATAAATAACCCAAAAATACAAAATAAAAATGAACCAAAAACAAACAAAGTATACCACTTTAACAAACAAGTATACAAAGAAATTAATAATGAAATAAACAAAATAAACTTTAAGCTTGCACCGAAGTATGAAAATATATCTACTAAGTTAAAGCGTCTACACCCTTTAAAAGATCGACAACCAACATCTGAAGTTAAAAACATTGTACAGTCTCCATAACACTGTTAATTATTCCGTTTTATATGAATTCCATGTTGTACGAGTCACTTAGATTTTACAAATACATGTGCTGGGCTGTGAACGGTCACATATTTGTAAAATCTAAGTGACTCGTACAACATGGAATTCATATAAAACGGAATAATCAACAGTGTTATAGGGGGAGTCGACTGTATATAAAATTCCTTGCACCTGTAATAATCAAAAATATTACATAGGCAAAACTAAAAGAAAAATGAAAGTTAAATTAAAGGAGCATATTACAGACCTTAAATATCATCAAAAAAATTTAGCTTTTCATGATCATTGTACGCTAAATGATCGTAGCATAGATAAAGATAATGTAAAAATCCTTCGTA